GTATGACATCGTCACGGGTTCGTGTGAACAACGATTGTGTCTTTCAATGAAAACAAGTTGTTCATATGGTGAACATAGACTGCAAGAGATGCACATATATGAACATTTTCAAAATCAAGGATCGTTGTACATGTGTGCAGATATAAACATAGACTACAAGCGTTTATCGTTTTCATTATTCTGATATTCTTTTACAATATGATTCTCCATGTATCTTGGACGAAACGAAAATCTTGTACACTTAGACAACCAATTTCAATATATGTAGAACATAACTTGAAAATAAGAACATGAACATGAAAGGTTAAAGAAATCAGAAAAATCTCATGATCAATTAGAGGTATCTTTTAAGATTTGTAACTCCCAATTAATTATTAGGGGGTTACAAAAAGGTTAAATTACAAAATTACCCTTATCATTAATTTATAATTTAGATTTGAACCTAAAGTGAAGAAAGAATGTGATTGGTTAAGGTTGGTTAGCTTATTTGCACCATATGGTTGGTTTCTATTTGAACCAACATATATATATATATATATATATATAATGCTTTGATAACATGATATGATTGATGAATCGTAATGGAGAAAAGGAACCATGGACCCAAAGGCTTCTTTGAACATATTGATAAGAAGAAAAGTACGCATAACATTCTTAAGCTAAACAAGAAGAAAGGAAAACAATATATACCTAATTAAGCTAAGAAAGGGTCAATGACAAAACAAGTCCTTGTACTATACATATAATTAATGCTAACAAACACAATGGTTCAAGTTCAAATGGATTATACGAAAACAACGATGTTCTCAATTATAAACGTTACAACATGTACCTTAGGCATGTCATCTGACACCTCTTGGAATACCTGACACCATAGTACCGAGGATCAGTATAAACTATAAATCATGCAAATAGTTAGCCAAAATTGAATGTACCACACTATACGTACTAGCTCTTTCATTTTACCTTTATCTTCGTTAGGACGTCCAACTACTAACTTGAACATAGGAGCCTTTTGTCGGGACCATCTCTAGGCTCTTCTAATGTTTTCTCTATCTAGAGATACCAAATTCACTATTAGACTGATATCAATGGTGCAACCTTAGTAGGACGTATTGACAAGGGGTAGAAGTAGACATGCGGTGAGAGCAAGCATTTTTTTTTCTCCCAAATATCTTGGAACCATGTTTGAGAAGAAGGTAGAGGTCAACAATGACATAACTCATCACATAAAGAAATGAGGAATGAAGTGAAGGGTTGCCGAATGCTGTGTGACAAGCAAGTCCACTAAAACTAAATGATAAATTCTACAGGATAGTCATCAAATCAAGTATGTTGTATAGTTGTGAGTGTTGGTCGATATAAAAGACCCATGTCACAGAAACATCATAGACCCATGTCACGGAAACATTGTATGCTTTGGTTTAGTACGTAGTTTCTTTTTATCTCGACCTTGTGTTGTAGACCCAACAGTGCAGATTTTGGTAATCATTCTCGAAGAGCATCACAAACTTGATCACCATTGTTATAGCAAATTTAACTTCCTCATGTGATCAGTCACTTTCATCTTTGTTTCCACCATAAATCTTTTTAATCGCCTTTTAATCCATTCTACAATTGTTAACACCCTCCCCTTCTTCCTTTTCGTGAACTCTTTCTTCAACACATTCTCTAAACTTATGCACGGTTACCTTCTTTTAAACCAAAACCGTCAAATATTTTATTCATATATAAGCATTTTGAACCATTATTTAATCAAATTTCATCACATGTTCATCTTGTTATTTCATTTGACAATTGTACCCTTGCATGATCTATGTTGACATGAAAAAGGGCACATAATAGAACACCAAAAAAGAGTGTGAATAGAAGTAATTTCCATGTCTAAATTACAACCATTAATGCATACATATATATATATATATATTATATAATCAATACAGAGACCTTACGGCCATAGATTATTATCACCAATCCATCTCTCTCTATCTCTGTAGATTTGAAGAGAGGGAGAGTAAGTCCTCACAGACTAAACAGTACACAATGCACCAAAAGTTGTACACCAAGAAGACATCCAGCCAGGCAAAAAAGAGAGCAGAAAGACAAGTTCCTTGAAAAACTTTGTTTCTGGTGCAATAACATGCATGTGCCAACATACTCCACCTTCTTGTACCTTCAATATTATTCCCTTCTTGTGACTCCTTTTGTCTCTTTTCTTCCATTGTCAGCTCCCCTTTTTACTGTGCACAAACATCATCATTATCATCTCTATTTTATCCACGTAATCTGCCATTTTTATATCCTTCATCAATTCTCCATTGAAGAACTGAAATTGAAGAGTTCTTGTTGCAAATCAAACGGTCTTCTTTCATTCCCTCCTACACCAAGAAAGTCTCTCGTCAAGTTCCCATCGTGGGATATCGATTCGTTTCCTTTGCTTTGCTTCGAACCAGTCATCATCATCATTAATCCATCGCCATTAATGTCATGATGATTTGAGGAACTGAAGTTGGAGAGACTTGTAGTCATGAGCCCAAATCCTTGATCAGTAGCACCACCATTGGTACTTCTTGTGGACCCCATTTGAGCAGCCTTCTGTAATAGGGCGGTGGCGGACATATGAGCCGGAGGTGGTGGTGGTGGTGGTGGTGGTGGAGTAGTGTTGGAGGTGGTGTAGTTGTTATACAAAGAGTTGAACTGCATTTCCCCTTTGTTATCTTCTTCTTTTAAATGCAACCCAGAATATGTTGCCACCGTTTCTTGACCTCCGTTCAACCACTGCACCATTTCAGATGGCAGTATTCCGCCATTGTTGTTGTTGTTCGAGCTAGACGACCCCAAAAATGAAGAATTACTAGGGTTTTCCAAATGGGATTCATTGCCATGTTGGTCTAACCAGATTGGTAATCTGGGTTTTGCTCCATTTGCATCAAGATTTGTACTTTCTAACATCCCACCACCAAACATCCCTGGAAATCGCAACTGCCCACCACCACCCCCACCGTTGATCATCATCAAGTCGTTTCTAAAGTTGAGATGTGCGGTACTTGACATCATCGGGAAAGAAGCCATTCTTGAATTTTCTTCAGTTAAAGCATCACAAAATGCTCTATGTGTTATGAAGCTGTCTTTCCTGTTTTTGTGTATATATATATATATATATTTACACACATGCAAATCTATAAATTTTTCATTTTCCTTTGGAGTATATAAATATAGGATCAGATTGAGTTAAAACCTCAAAAAAATTAAAATTTCAGTTCATCTAAACGGTATGCACATATACATAGTAATTTATAAGCAATTCCCCTGATATACACATGTGTAAAATATGCATACTTGCATAAAAACCAAGAAACAACGACTTCAATTACTTGTACACATATGCATACCGTTCAGATTAATGTGTTTCTTAGGTTTTCATTTCCCCCCGGATCTGATTAACGCAATAAGCTTTAATTATATCAAAACTTAAAGAGATTGAAACATATATTTACCTTGAAAAAAGTGTTCCACAATCACACTTATATTCTCTAGTACCACAGATTTTGCTATGAGCTTTCCAATCCGACTGAACTGCGTACTTCTTTGAACACTTTTCGCATTTCCATTTCTTCTCACCATGTTTCCGGCTGAAATGCTTCTTAACTCCGGTGAGATCTCCGAGAGCTCGAGATGGGTCATGATGAACACAGCTCTTCTCTGGACATATATAAACCTTCTTCTTCACAACTTCAAGTTTGTTTCTTTGCTTAAGCTTCCATGGCAAGTTGTGTCCTCTTCTATGAAGCTGTAAATTCTGGTCTCTCTGAAAACCCTTGTTACATATCTCACATACAAATCGATTCGTCGCCATCAAAGATCTAGGAGATAACGCTATCACTTCTGCATCTGGGTCTATACATACATATATATATATATATACATATATATATATATATATAAGTTTGTGAAAAACAAATCCATTAGCAAACGGAAGTAGTTTTGAATGGATTGTATACAGAAGAATTCAGTCAGGAATTAATATCAAATTACCTGGTGTGCCAGGTAGATTCCGCTTACGTTTAGCTGAACTTGAAGAATTAGGGTTAGGGTTTGAGATGGGGTCTTGGATGAGAGAAGCAGTAAGAGAAGAAGGAGAAGATGAATTAAACCCATCACCTCCAGACATCATCTTTGAGTCTTGTGAAAGCTGATGTTCAATCTAAAATGGCAAATACAAGTATCTAAATATAGATGAACAGATGGAGATGATGGAGATGATGATGATGATGATGATGATGATGGTAGTAGCTAGCTTCAATAAATCTAGTTCAAATTAAAGATGATCAAGATAACCCAGAAACAGGTGTGATCAAAGTTGACTGATTTGTGTCAAGTTCTTCAACTCTTTTCCACTAAATTCACACATAGATCTTCGTAGCTGAGCTTGTTTTGAATCTTGATAGATACAAAGAAAGAACACACATGATGGATTGTCTCTCCACAGAGAGAGAGAAGAGAGAGAGAGAGAGAGAGAGAGAGAGAGAGAGAGAGAGAGATGGTTTTAGAATGTAGAGAGAGAGAAAGCCTTATCCTACACGGCTTGTGTAGAAAGTCGGTCAGCCATAGACTCTACTTGGACCATGTCTTTCTCAATCACTTGCACAATAATTGCTATTAAAAAAACTATTTTTAATTATATTTACATATTATAAAAACAATTAAAAATTCAAATTACGATATTTTTTATTTTCAGAATTGATGATGAAAGTAACTTTTTGAAACCATTCATGTCAATTTGACTTTATTTTCATTTGAAAATTATATTTATTTCATAATTAATTATTTTTTTAAATATATTTTCCATAAAAAGAATTTCAAATGACAATGGGTATTGGTAATATGTCACTTTAACTTAATATTATTAATTATCCATTTAAGGGAAAAAACCCCACTTAAGCAATTAATCCTTCTGTTTATTAAAATCGTACCCTAAAATAAAATTTACGTTATTTTAAGCAACGGATACGTATTTTTTCTAAAAATTTATTTTTGAAAATGCAAGATTAGGGTATTTTTAAAAAATTAAAACTAAAAGAACTCATTTAAATATTTTAGAAAATATATATTCATATTTTATTAATATTAAAAAATATCTATGAATTATTTAATTGATAAGAAAACATTTATATTACATATTATCTATAAAATATTATACAATATTGTCCCTCTCATATGAATTTTTAACCATTTTTTTTATTGTAATTAAACACATAAGAGAAAAATAGTCACATCTAAAAAAGAATTGATTGTTATCGAGACTCTTTGCAATGTGATGGAAATTTATGATTTGATATGAAATATGATTTGTATAATAAATGCTATTTATTTTTAATTCGATTGTTTTTCGGTTATTATAGATAATTATAAGTCATTTTCATAAAAATAGATATCCATAAATTTAACTGTTTTTACTGATGACGAATGTTTATGATGATAAATTCATTAAATGGTGATTAATTTTATGACTTATTTTCTTTAATTAAAATATGTCTTGTTTTTTAACAAATTTTAAACACAATTGATGTTAATATTTTTAAAAATCTTTTCTTTTTTTTAATCTGTTAAATCTTAGATTAACGTAAAAGAGAAGGTTAAATGTATCTCTATAAATTGCTAAATGCACCCATAACTACTACGTTTCTACTTAGAGACATTAATATCAAGACTTTTTTTTACGTTTTTAATATATGATTTGAATTGATTTGATTTGATTCTAACATAATTATCATGTATGTTAGTTTGGAACCCTTATCAAATTGACGATGACAAGCATACGGCTTTCTGTAGAATTATATATGTATGTATGAGATCAAATATGGAATTCTGCATACTCAAATAACATAAATTCGACATACATAGAAATTCAATAAACTCTTATAGCATCGTCAGTTCGCAAAATATAGCAGTAATTATAAATCAAAATTAAAAATATTATGATAGTTTGTGAATAAAGAAACGAAGATATAAAGTATTGATCACAATTAATGAACTTTATTCATCTTCCATAAATTAATGAACCCTAAACCCTAAACCCTAAACTCAATCTTAACCGTCCATTTAATTTAATGAATATGTGATTTCATAGAAGTTTTGATTGTTTCATAATATAAATTATTGATCACAATTAATGAACTCTATTCATCTTCCATAAATATTCAAATCATAATAAATGAACTCTCATAATTTCCATAAACATCTCAATTTATTGGGTTGCATTGGTTATACAAATGTGATGAGTTGCATTTGAAACAAACTCTCTCTCTCTCTTTCTCTCTCTCTCTTTATATATATATAGAGAGAGAGAGAGAGAAAGAGAGAGAGAGACTTGGGATCATATGAGACCAAGAGTTTTTCGTGAGACCCGTAAGACCAATTTTCAACCATTGGATTATATCTACAATATGAACATTCATAATCACAAAATTGTCACGAGACTTCTCAATAATCACAAAATTGTCACCGTGCAACTTTAGACCATTAGATCATTAGCTTATAAAGTTGATCAATAAACATAAATTGGTCTTACGAGTTTAACGAAAAACCTTATATATATATATGAGTAATTATAATTTAAAATAAATAGAGAGGGTAAAAAGGAAGATAGCTTTTTAGGGTGTTTACAGGTGAAAATGATTTGGTTATAATTGTTAGGGATTTGGGGGGAAAAAGGTGGCCGTCCGTGACTCCCCACAAGGAGAAAATTACCTTTTTGACCCCACCACCCCGATTCTCGGACTTATGGTAATTTTGGTAACATATCTTCATCAATACAACTATTGCTTTATATTTATTTTCAATACTATTCAGATAAAAAATTGATTACCGACAATAACAATTTTAAATAAGTTTTATACTCAATCCGCCTTTAAGATCACCAATCCGAGGGACATTTTTGTTACTCATTTAGCGTCTAAGGCTAGCAAACAGATCAAAAAACCCAAGATTTGTCTTATATTTGTGTAAAGTCGTTTTACTCATTTGTCAACTGAACTACATGTCAAAGCTAAACGATATAAAAATTTATGTTATATATAATCTTTATATCTTAATAATTATTATCTGATA